TTTTTTTTAAATTGCAGTATAGTTAATTTGCAATGTTCTGTTAGTTTCAAGTGTACAACAGAGTGAGTCAGTTATACATATGTATCTGTTCTTTTTCAGATTCTTTTCCATGATAGGTTATTACAAGATTTCAAATATAGTTCCCTGTGCTATACAGTAGGACCTTATTGTTTATCTATTTTAGATATAGTAGTGTGTACATTTTAATCCCAAACTCCTAATGTATCCTCCCCCTCCCTCTGCCGCCACCCCTCGGGATCCCCTTTGGTAGCCATAAGTGTGTGTTCTATGTCTGTGAGTCTGTTTCTGTTTTGTAAATAAGTTCATTTGTATCTTTTTTTCTTTTTTAAGATACCGCATATAAGTGATATCATATGATATTTGTCTTTCTCTGTCTGACTTACTTCACTTAATATGATAATCTCTAGGTCTCCCCATGTTGCTGCAAATGGTGTTATTTCATTCTTTTTTTTATGACTGAGTAATAGGTACCACATCTTCTTTATCCAGTCATCTGTCATGGGATAGCTAGGTTGCTTCCATGTCTTGACTATTGTAAATAGTGTTGGTATGAACATTGGGGTTCATGTGTCTATTTGAATTAGAGTTTTCTCCAGATATATACCCAGGAGTGGGGTTGCATGACCATATATTAACTCCATTTTAGTGTTTAAAGTAACCTCCATACTGCTCTCCTTAGTGGCTGCACCAGTTTACATTCCCACCAAAGTGTAGGAGGGTTGATTTTTCTCCACACCCTCTCCAAAATTTATTATTTGTAGACTTTTTAATGATGGCCTTTCTTATTGGTGTGACATGGTACCTCATTGTAGTTTTGATTTGCACCTCTGTAATCATTAGCGATGTCGAGCATCTTTTCATGTGCCTGTTGGCCATCTGTAGGTCTTCTTTGGAGCAGTATCTATTTAGGTCTTCTGTCCATTTTTTGATTGGCTTGTTTGTTTTGTTGATATTAAGCTGTATGAGCTCTTTGTATATTTTGGAAATTAATCCCTTGTCAGTAGCATCTTCTGCAAATATTTTCTCCCATTCTGTAGGTTGTCTTTTTGTTTTGTTCATGGTTTCCTTTGCTCTGCAAAATCTTTTAAGTTTAATTAGGTCCCACCTGTCTATTTTTGTTTTTATTTCCATTACTCTAGGAGAGGATCCAAAACGATATTGCTGCCGTTTATGTCAAAGAATGTTCTGCCTATGTTTTCCTCTAGGTGTTTAATAGTATCCAGTATTACATTTAGGTCTGTATGCCATTTTCAATTTATTTTTGTTTATGGTTTAGAGAGTGTTCTGATTTCATTCTTTTATATGTAGCTGTCCAGTTTTCCAAGCACCACTTACCGAAGAGACCGTCTTTTCTCCATTGTATATTCTTGCCTTGTTTGTCGTAGATTAATTGACCATAAATTTGTGTGTTTATTTCTGGGCTTTCTATCCTGTTCCATTGATCTATATTTCTGGTTTTGTGCCAATACCATACTGTTTTGACTGTAGCTCTGTAGTAAAACCTGAAGTCAGGTAGCGTGATTCCTCTGCCTCTGTTCTTATTTCTCAAGATTGCTTTGCCTCTTAGGGGTCTTTTGTGTTTCCATACAAATTTTAAAATTATTTGTTCTAGTTCTGTGAAAAATGCCATTGGTAATTCGATAGGTATTGTGTTGAATCTGTAGATTGTCTTGCATAGTATGGTCATCTTAACAATACAGATTCTTCCAGTCCAAAACACAGTATATCTTTCCATCTGTTTGTGTTGTCTTCTATATCTTTTATCAGCATCTTACAGTTTTCAGAGCACAGGTCTTTGCCTCCTTAGGTAGGTTTATTCTTAGGTAGTTTATTCTTTTTGGTGCTGTAGTTAATGGAATTGTTTCTTTAATTTCTCTTCTGATATTTCCTTGTTCATGTATAGAAATGCAACAGATTTCTGTAAAGTAATTTTGTACCCTGCAAATTTATGGAATTCATTAATGAACTCTAGTAGCTTTCTGGTGGTGTCTTTAGGATTTTCTATGTATACTTCATGTCATCTGCAAACAGTGAGAGTTTTACGTCTTCTTTTCCAATTTGGATTCCTTTAGTTTCTTTTTCCTGTCTGATTGGTGTGGCTAGGACTTCCAAAACTATGTTGAATAAAAGTGGTGAGAGTGGGCATTCTTGTCTTGTTTCTGAACTTAGTGGAAATGCTTTCAGCTTTTCACTGTTGAGAATGATGTTAGCTGTGAGTTTGTCATATATGGCTTTATTATGTTGAGATATGGTCCCTCTATGCCCACTTTCTGAAGAGTTTTTATCATAAATCGATGTTGAATTTTATGAAAAGCTTTTTCTGCATCAATTGAGCTGATCATATGGTTTTTATTCTTCAGTTTGTTAATGTGACATATCACATTGACTGATTTCCAAATATTGAAAAATCCTAGCATCCCTGGGATAAATCCCCTTGATCATGGTGTATGATCATTTTAATGTATTGTTGGAGTTGATTTGATAGTATTTTGTTGAGGAATTTTGCATCTATGTTCTTAAGTGATATTGGCGTGTAAATTTCTTCTTTTTTTTTTTTTAGTGATATCTTTATCTGGTTTTGGTGTCAGGGTGATGGTGGCCCCATAGAATGAGTTTGGAAGTGTTCCTTCCCCTGCATTTTTTTCTGGAATAGTTTCAGAGAATGGGTGTTAACCCTCCTCTAAATGTTTGGTAGAATTCACCTGTGAGGCCATCTGGTCCTGGACTTTAAAGTTTTAAAGTTTCTGATTCAGTTTCAGTACTGGTAATTGGTCTGTTCATATTTTCTATTTCCTCCTGGTACAGGCTTGGTACCTTCCTAAGAATTTGTCCGTTTCTTTGTCCATTTTATTGGTGTATGGTTGCTTGTAGTAGTCTCTTATGGTCCTTTGTATTTCTCTGGTGTCAGTTGTAACTTCTCCTTTTTTATTTCTAAGTTTATTGATTTGAGTCCTCTCCCTTTTTTTTCTTGATGAGTCTGGCTAACAGTTTGTCAATTTTGTTTATCTTTTCAAAGAACCAGCTTTTAGTTTCATTGATCAATAGGGAAGCATTAACGACTTTCTTACATGGGCGGCGGGGTGGGGGGGGGGGGGGGGGGGGGGGGGGGGGGGGGGGGCAGATTCCTAAAGTGGACAAGTCAGTATTTAAATTTAATTCAGAAGGAAACCATGCTAAATGACAGCTGTTTTCTTTTTATGGCTGTTCCTATTTGCCTTATATATTGAAGTGCACCTATGTTGGGTGCATATATATTTACAATTGTTATGTCTTCTTCTTGGATTTATCCCTTGATTGTTATGTAGTGTCTTCTTTGTGTTTTGTAACAGTCTTTATTTTAACGTCTATTTGTCTGATACGAGTATTGCTACTCCAGCTTTCTTTTGATTTCCATTTGCATGAAATACCTTTTTTCAACTTCTCACTTTCAGTCTGTGTGTGTCCCTATATCTGAAGTGGGTCTCTTGTAGACAGTGTATATAAGGGTCTTGTTTTCGTTTCCATTCAGTCAGTCAGTGACTTTTGGTTGGAGCATTTATTCTGTTTATGCTTAAGGTAATTATGGATATGTATGTTCTTATTGCCATTTTATTAATTGTTTGAGGTTTGTTTTTGTAGGTCATTTTTCTTCCCTTCCTCTTTTTCTCATCTCTTCTGATTCGACGACTAAGTTCAGTGCTGTGGTTGGATTCCTTTTTCGTTTTTGTGTGCGTATCTATTGCAGATTTTTGGTTTGAGGTTACCATAGGTTTTGATATAGCAGTCTGTGTATAAACAAGATTGTTTTGAGTTGCTGGTCTTTCAATTTCAAATGCATCCCAATATCCTGCATTTGTGCTCTTTTCTTCTCATGATTGGTGGTTTTGCTATCATACGTGTTTGTGGATGATTTCCTATGTTTGCTGTATGTTCGCCTTTACCAGTGAGCTTTTCCATTCATCATTTTCTTGTTTCTAGTTGTGGCCTTTTCGTTTCTGCCTAGAGAAGTTCCTTTAGCATTTGTTGCAAAGCTGGTCTGGTGGTGCTGAATTCTCTTAGCTTTTGCTTGTCTGTAAACTTTTGATTTCTCCATTGAATCTGCATAAGAGCCTCTGCTGGCTAGAGTATTCTGGGTTGTAGGTTCTTACCTTTCATCACGTTAAAGATATCATGCCACTCTTTTCTGGCCTGCAAAGTTTCTGTTGAGAAATCAGCTGGTACCCTTATGGGAATTCCCTTGCATGTTATTTGTTGCTTTTCTCTTGTTGCTTTTAATATTTTTTCTTTGTCCTTAATTTTTGTCAATTTGATTACTGTGTCTTGGCGTGTTCCTCCCTGGGTTTATCCTGCCTGGTACTCTCTGTGCTTCCTGACAACTGTTCATTTTAGGTCAACTTGAAAGAGCCATATTGATTCCCACCAGGACCAAACGCTGCAGCTCATTCACATGCTGGGAAAATACTAACTGTGATGGAAATGTTTACATACACAAGGATGGCGAGAATGACAGTGACATAAACTTCCTAGTTCCTTAAAGGACCTGATGACCTTACAAGGATGGGGCTTGGAATGCTGGTAAATTGTTATACAGCAATAGAAAATGGATACAGGGTATTTATGATACTGTCCTAATGAGATCCCATTCTTGTACATATTACCTGTACATGCATAGAAAACATCTGTAAGGATGGATATGAATGTTGGGGGTGAGACACCCAGTGGCTTTTACTTTATTCCTTATACTTACTGGGTTGTTTGAAAAAAATTAAGTGAGCATATATTTAATAATCAGATGGGGAAAATAAAGATCTTAAAGGTGAGAAAGAAAATCATTAAAAGTATATCCTAAGTACCTCAAAGGAGTCTAGTAGATTGAAATTACGTAACTGATAAGAACGTGCTTTTGAAAGTTGTGTAGTTTCATAAAAATACAATGTAGTACCTTTTTCTCAGTCCTTAATCTCTCCTCCTTACTTAGAATTAATAGGCAGACGTTTAGGTATGTTTAGATTCAGAATTTTATTTTAAATAGATTTCTGTGCCATAACATAATGTCTGTGATACTCTTACTAAAAATTATGTATAACGGTCAAATTCTAACAATTTTTGCAACAAGCTCTCATTACTTTTTCTTCAAAATAGGAGAAGTTCACATTACATACCATTTTGAACATGATTGTTTGCTTACAAATAATTTACTGTAAAAATGTTATTTTCAAAGAAAATTTATGGGAAATGATAAAGCAACTACAAAAATCTTTACAATAAAATCCAGGATAAAAATATTTTTTTGTGGATTGAAAATGTATCAACATGTATATGTGGATTATAAATATATTTTGGCAATCTGATGCATTCAAGGGCACTTTAAAAGTTGTCTAGTTAAATTACTACAGATATGACGTATTTGGTGAAACCCAATCTGTAAGTCTGACACCAACAATCATTTCTTCCTGCTAAAACATAGAAATAATTTATCTGAAAACCGTGAGTGCTATGAAGAGTTCGATTTCTTCATAAAGATTCCTTTATAAGTTGGGCTAATCCCTGGAAGGCCTAAAAGCGAACAGAGAGAAGAATTAATAAAATTAGGATGCTGTTTAGGAAAAGTCTGTCATAACTTGAGAAATTTAAACAAAGAGTATCCATCTTAGGTTGAGATCAGACAGTGAAAAGTCAGGATTAACCTCAGTTTTATCTGGGTCAGAGGCCGTCATGTCCACTAATATACGTAGACGAAAGCACATCAGAGGCCCAGGAAATTTTTCAAATCCTTATTCCCTCAAGATCATCATCTTCTCCCAGAACACGAATTATTTTTTTCATATACTCTCTCACCTGCACATGCCTTCTGTATAGTTTCAGTTGTCCAGCTCTATGCATATATAACTTATGAAAAGCATATTTAATGACATGAGAAAGGAAGTCAATCAAGAACACAGCCGGAGACAGCCCATCTCCAAGGATAAGTATACACTCTTCTTACACTTCCTGGACTCTTCAGTTTATGGCTCTTCTGTGGGTTCCCGACACACAGTTCTTAGGAACTTGCTTCTTGGTTTCCTGTAATCCTGGTTAAAGCTGGACTTTGTGATTAAGCAATTACTGAACTCCAATCATTCATATTATTCTATTTGACCCTTCCTCAAGAGATAGAGATGGATGGCTTTATGAATTTGTACTATGGCTCATGTTAATTCTATGAAGAAATGAAAGAGTTTCTCTTTTTAACGTGTTGATAATTTGCCAACACTGTTGAACAGGTCTGTCATGTATTCATGAAAGCAATAAAATTCAACTCCAATTTGGTCGCATCATTTGTCTATAGAAGCCTGGCAACTTCTCTGAATGGTAGTTTGTGACTTTCCAACTAATACCCATTTTGCAGAAACCCAAGAAGATATCAAATAATGTTGTAACTCACAGAATGAACACAAAAAATAAATGGATATCTACTTTTACTCTAAAGAGAATATTGTACTCACCATGTCCATCTGCTCTGGAGAAGCTAAAGAGAAGGATGCTCTGAAGTAGGGGCAAGGAGCTGAACTATCAAGGTAGAAATGATATCCAGGAAGCATGAATATCTAAGAGAGTTTATGGAAAACAGGTGATGTACCATTAAAGAAAACTAAAAGAAAATATAGGTGAATCTAATCTCAGAGTGGAGGATGACTTTTAAACTTAAAAAGCAATGAAAGAAATCACAAGAGAAAAATCAATTTATATAAAATTACTGCATGTCATACAATAAAACTAAAAGCATAGAAATCAGTGTTTACAATAAATACAGCAATTCTACCTCTTCTCCATATATTATAGAGAACGCACAGAAACAGAGGAAAAACTTTAAAATGGACAAGGACAGCTTATTCAAGAAATACAAATGGTAATAAACACGAATAAATGTTTAACATAACTAGAAAAGTAAAATAAATCCAATGAAATATCATTTTAAAAAATATTTCATTTTTTAAAGTTAAACTATAGCTGATTTACTATGTTGTGTTAGTTTCGGGTATACAGAATAGTGATTCAGTTATACATATGTGTATATGTATATCAATCTATCTTTTCTTTTTCATATTCTTTTCCCTTATAGGTTATTATAAAATATTGAGTATAGTTCCCTGTGCTATACAGTAAGACCTTGTTGGTTATCTATGTTATACATAGTAGTGTATATATGTTAATCCCAAACTCCTAATATATCCCTTCTCCCCTTTCCCCTTTGGTAACCATAAGTTTGTTTTCTATGTCTGTGGGTCTATTTCCATTTTGTCAATAAGTTCATTTGTATAATTTTTTTAGATTCCACATATAGTGATATCATATGATATTTGTTTTTTTTCTGTCTGACTTCACTTTGTGTGATAATCTCTAGGTCTATCCATGTTGCTGCAAATGGTATTATTTCATTCTTTGTTTATGGCTGAATAATATTCCATTGGATATATGTACCACATCTTCTTTATCTATTCATTTTTTGAAGAACATTTAGTTTGCTTCCATGTCTTGGCTATTGTAAATAGTGCTGCAATGAAACATTGGGGTGCATGTATCTTTTTGAATTATACCTTTCTCCATATATATATTCCCAGGAGTGGGATCCCTGGATCATATGGTAACTCTATTTTTAGTTTCTTAATGAACCTCCATACTGGTTGCACCAATTAAAATTCCCACCAGTAGTGTACGAGGGTTCACTTTTCTCCACACCCTCTCCAGCATTTATTATTTGTAGACTTTTTGATGATGGGCATTCTGTCTGCTATGAGGTGATACCTCGTTGTAGTTTTGATTTGATTTTCTCTAATAATTAGCGATATTGAAAATCCTTTCATGCACCTGTTGACCATCTGTATGTCTTCTTTGGAGAAATGTCTTTTTAGGTCTTCTGCCCAATTTTGGATTGGGTTATTTGTGGTTTTTTTCTTTATATTGCGCTGTATGAGCTGTTTCTATACTTTGGAAATTACTCCTTTGTCTGTCACATCATTTGCAAATATTTGTTCCCATTCCGTAGGTTGCCTTTTTGTTTTCTTTATGGTTTCATTTGCTGTGCAAAAGCTTTTAAGTTTAACTAGGTCCCATTTCTTTATTTTTGTTTTTATTTCCATTCTAGGAGACAGAGCAAAAATGATATTGCTATGATTTATGTCAAAGAGTGTTCTGATTGTTCTACTCTAAGAGTTTTATAATATCCAGTCTTATATTTAGGTCTGTAAACCATTTTGAGTTTATTGTTGTATATGATCTTTGAGAATGTTCTAATTTCATTCTTTGACATGTAGCTGTACTGTTTTCCTAGCATCCTTTATTGTAGAGACTGTCTTTTCTCCATGGTATATTCTTGCTCCTTTGTCATAGATTAATTGACCATAGGTGTGTGGGTTTATTTCTGGGCTCTCTATACTGTTCCATTGATCTATATTTCTGTTTTTGTGCCACTACAATACTGTTTGGATTACTGCAGCTTTGTAGTGTAGTCTGAAGTCAGGGAATGTGACTCCTCCAGCTCCGTTCTTCTTTCTCAAGACTGCTTTGGCTGTTAGGGGACTTTCGTGTTTCCATACAAATTTTAAAATTATTTGTTCTAGTTCTGTGAAAAATGACCTTGGTAATTTGATAGGGATTGCACTGAACCTGTAATTGGCCTTGGATAGTAAAGTCATTTTGACAAAATTGATTCTTCCAATCCAAGAACATGGTGTATCCTTCCATCAGTTTGTGTTGTCTTCAGTTTCTTTCATCGGCATTTTATAGGTTTCCAATTACAGGTCTTTTGCCTTTTTAGGTAGGTTTATTCCTAGGTATTTTATTCTTTTAGATGTGATGGTAAATGGGATTTTTTCCTTAATTTCTCTTTCTGATCTTTTGTTGTTAGTATATAGAAATGCAACAAATTTCTGTGTATTTATTTTGTATCATGCAACTTTACCAAATTCATTGATGAGCTCTAGTAGTTTTCTGGTAGTATCTTTAGGATTTTCTATGTATAGCATCATCTGCAAACAGTGACAGTTTTACTTCTTCTTTTCCACTTTTGATTCCTTCTATTTCTTTTTCTTCTGTGATTGCTGTGTCTAGGTCTTCCAAAACTTTGTTGAATAAAAGTGGTGAGTGTGGGCATCCTTGTCTTGCTCCCAGTCTTAGAGGAAATACTTTCAGATTTTCGCTGTTGAGTATGATGTTAGCTGTGGGTTTTTCATATATAGCCATTATTATGTTAAGGTGTATTCCCTCTATACCCGCTATCTGGAGAGTTTTTATCATAAATGGATGTTGAATTTTATCAAAAGCTTTTTTGTCTCTATTGAGATGATCATATGGTTTTTATTCTTCAATTTGTTAACGTGGTGTGTCACACAGATTGATTTGTGGATATTGAAAAAAACTGCAAAAAATACAAACATGTGGAGGCTAAACAATATGCTACTAAACAACCAATGAATCGTGGAAGAAATTAAAGAGAAAATCAAAAAATACCTAGAGAGAAATGAAAATGAAAACATGATGATCCAAAACCTATGGGATGCAGCAAAAGTAGTTCTAAGAGGGAAGCTTATAGTAATACAGTCATACCTTGGGAAACAAAAAATCTCAAATAAATAACCTAACCTTACACCTAAAGCAAATAGAGAAAGAAGAACAAACCAAACCCATAGTTAGTAGAAGGAAAGAAATCATAAAGATCAGAGCAGAAATAAATAGAGACTAAGAAGACAATAGAAAAGATCCATGAAACTAAAATGGAACTTGGGTCTCTGACTCACGGCAGGAGCAGAAGAGGTTATAGACCACGTCTTTGAAAACTGTGCATGAGTCAGAACTAAGCTGGTTTGTGTTAAGTTTTCGAGATTGTTGTCTAGTAAAATCATGACATTCAGAACTTTAAGAAACTGCTTGTTTTTTCATGGTGTAGATCTGGCCCCTGGTTGTTGAAGTTAGATGAACTGGGAATGAAATGATTTGGGGGCATTCTGGGGAGAAAATTTCAAGGCCGAAGATGAGTGTTTTTTTTTTTTGTCCTGATTAACAATGAAATGAAAACCATAATTTCTACCAATATTGTGGAACAGTTTAGGGATGTGCCAGAAGCAAGTTTCTGTAGAGAAGGAGGGGATGGTAATAATCTCCTGGCAAGATAACCAAAATTTGGGCTAAGGCAGCAGTGTTAGAGATTACTTAGAAAAGGTAAAGAAAGGTATGTGCAACAGGGTATATGGAATAAAAGAAAGGGACTGAAAAAAAATGACAATAAATATGAAGTCTGTATCCTTAGCTCCTAGTTCAGGGATACACACATCAAATGTTCTGGAGAATAATGGCATTGATAAGAAAGCAAAAAAAAAAAAAAGTAATAAAATTGATTTATTGTACTAAAATGCACTTATATGAGTTGTCATTTAAGTATTTATTAAGCGCTTTCTATGTGCTGTTATTAACATTAAAACAATTAATAAAGCATGAGTCCTGCGGTCAAGTATGATGATTACAGGGAATGAGTGACTTTCCCAGGGGAGTGGATTGGCTCTTGGGTCCAGGCAGCCAGTTCCCAGTTCTGACCTCTAGACTGTCTCTTACGCTCTAGCACAGGAGTTTGCCAACAACAACACGATCTGTTCTTTGTACTCACTGCCTCAAGACAAAAGTGATACTAGAAACAGATCTTGGTGTTTACAAAAGAGTGACGAACATGATAAAGGAATTAATGGAGAATGGTTGATTGATTTGCTAAATTGGAAAGCTACACAGAAGCATATTTAGATGTCTCAGCTTAATTAGTGCCTCTGAATGAAATCTAAGTAGACATGATTTAAGTATAAAAGGAGAAAAAAAATTAGAAATCCTTGTGGGCTAATTTTAAGTGAAAAAAACAGGATATAAACTTTTCTGTGTAATTTTAATGCTGTAAAATAATTGCACAGCCATATCAGACAAACAAACCACCCGATTAAAAAATGGGCACAAACCTGAATGTACGTTTTTCCAGAGAAGACATACAGATGGCTAAAAAGCACATGAAAAGATGCTCTACATCATTAATCATCAGGTTAATGCCAATCATTAACCATTAATCATCAATGCAAATCAAAACCACAATGAGATATCACGTCACACTTATTAAAATAGCAACCAGCAAATGGACAACAAATAACAAATGCTGGCGAGGATGCAGAGAAAAGGGAACACTTGTAAACTGTTGGTGGGAATGTAAATTGGTGAAGCATTATGGAACATAGTATGGAGGTTCCTCAAAAAACGAAAAATAGAACTACCATATGACCCAGCAATTCCACTTGTGGGTATATGTCCAAAGAAAATGAAAACACTAATTAAAAAAGATACATGCTTGGGGCTTCCCTGGTGGCGCAGTGGTTGAGAGTCCGCCTGCCAATGTAGGGGACACGGTTTGGTGCCCTAGTCTGGGAAGATCCCACATGCCGCGGAGCGGCTGGGCCCGTGAGCCACGACCGCTGAGCCTGCGCGTCCGGAGCCTGTGCTCCGCAACGGGAGAGGCCACAACAGTGAGAGGCCGCGTACCACAAAAAAAAAAAAAAAAAAAGATACAGTGTTCATTTCAGCATTATTTATAATTGCCAAGATATGGAAACAACCTAAGTGCCCATCAACAGATGAATGGATAAAGAATATGTGATATATATATATATATATAGTGATGTGATACACAAAGTTATAAAATGAATGAAATAATGCCATTTGTGACAACATGGATGGACTTGGAGGGTATTATGCTTAGTGAAATAAGTCAGAGAAGGACAAATATGCACTTATATGCAGAATCTAAAAAAATAAAATGATTAAACAAAAAGAAAGAGACACACATAATAGAGACAAACTGGTGCTTACCAGTGGGAAGAGGGAAGGGGGAAGGGCACGACAGGGGTAGAGGATTAAGAGGTACAAACTATTATGTATAAAATAAAGAAGATCCAATGATATATTGTACAGCACAGGGAATATAACCAATTTTTTATAATAACTTTAAGTGGAGTCTAATTGTTAAAAATATTGAATCACTATGTTGTACACCTGAAACTAATGTAATATTGTAAAGCATTATACTTTCATAAAAAAACAATTTCATAGACAAACTACTAGATATATACAAGCTGTTCAAGAAAATATTTCACAAATGGTCATAAAATCTGGGTAGTAAAATTATGGGCTATTTAAAAAACTTTCAATATGCTTTAATGAAGAATCATGTTACCATGAGTATGCTTTACTTTCCTAATCAGGAAAAAAAATCCTTTTATTTTAATACTAATGGCTTATGGTTACCAGTGGGTAAGGGGAGGAGGGTTAAACTGGGAGTTTGGGATTGACATATACAACTACTATATATAAAACAGATAACGAATAAGGCCCTACTGTATAGCACAGGGAACTCTACTCCATACTCTGTAATGGCCTATATGGGAAAAGAATCTAAGAAAGAGTGGATATATGTATATGTATAACTGAATCTCTTTGCTGTACACCTGAAACTAACACAACATTGTAAATCAACTATACTCCAATAAAAATTTTTTAAAAATAATAAAAAATATTACTGGCTAATACTCATCAAGCATTTACTATGTGCCAGGTATTGGTCTAAGTACTTTATCCATATTTATTGCTTTCATCATCATAGCAACCCTAAGAAGGAGAGGTTCTTATTATCTGCATTGTACCCAACGCCACATATAAGGGCAGGGCTGGAGCTGGGATTCACACCCAAGGACGTGCCTCCAGAGACTGTGCTCTTAGCCACTAAGCTAATCAGTAGCTGAGCTGAATGACTGTATTTCCCCTGGTTTAGACCAGGAGACTAATTCTGTAACCCAAAATCTATTCTGTTCTTAGTAAGGAGTTAATGTATCTGATAGGCAAACATTATGCCTTGGGTTGGTGGGCAACGATAGATATCTCTTGCCATTTTATTAAGATATTACTTTAAAGAAAAAATGTAGCTTTTCTTCCTGTTTTACCTCTTTCTTAAAGGCTTTCTCTTCAATCAGTTTTCTTACATCATGAAGGCCCTTAATTTTAACCCATAAAAACATTCCAGCAGTAGGAACTTGCCATTCTGCCAAACCTACAAACAAAAGAGAAGAAATATTTCCCGAGACCATTTCTGATGATGTCAACTATATCGCTGAAATGACAAATTGCAGTAACTATAAACTAGTGTTTCCAAAAAAGTTCCTTCAGTGATAGCATTTTTAAAAATATAGTTTCATGAGTTCTGAAAATTGATGCTCTGAGTTTTATTTTAAAAAGTAAGGTGAGGGTTTGAAAGGGAGAGAGGAGACTCGTGTGTTTATTTATGATTTTAGTGGGTCTCAGGGCAGTGCGGGAAATCCAGTGCCATGCCCACCACCCTTCCTTAGAATTGCCCCTAAGCCGAACATGGCTCTTTCAGTTTTAGGAGCGGATTCCTCAGCTCTTTCTAGTGTTTCAATAAATCTTATCATTTATGTAATTGTTCATAAGTTTAATGAATTGAAGTTTTTATCAGAATGTAGTTAATTATGAAAGGAGTACATAAAATTAAGAAATTCTGGTCATTGGTAGGCTTTATGCTCCATTGAACATAAGGATAGAGAAACCAAGAAGGAAGAATAATTATTTTGATTTTGATTATTACCTTTAAAAAAAAAAAACCTTGATGTTGATTAAAGCCTTTTTTTCAACTTCACTATAGGAAGTGGTAGAATAGTACTCTTATCAAAAAGATAGTAATTGTGTTTTTACCAGGACTACGTAGGGAAAAAGATATGAGGGAAATAAGAAGTGACTACTTTGTATTTACTGTTATTCTTGCCAAAGGCATTTTTAGTGGTGTAAGTAAAGCCATGCAATTCATTTTACTTTCTTCCTTAATAGAAAATTAAATCTAAACCATTCTGAAATCAAATTAGCAATAGAAAATATTAGATAAATGAGGTTAATGATTAAAAGGCAAATTGTCTGTAATGAGAAACCTGCCTTAGATTGTACTGTTTTGTCTTTATAGAGTCAGTAAAGGAGTATGTTGTTGATTTCACAATTCCTCTTCTATTTGGAGCAAAATTTTGAAAACCTTTTGAGTACAGGTATTATTTAACTTTAAGTAGGTTATTGCTGGTTGATTGTTAGACTAATTGGTCATTTTTCTTCAAACCACAGTTACTTTGCAGCAGTCAGTTATAGTAGAAATGCGTAGAATCGTGCCAGGGTTTGTGCTCTTACTTCTGAGATCATTCATAGGGTAACATTTTCTTGACAAGAATACTCCTGGACCCTGTTTCCTTCCCCAGGGTTATTAACAATACTCTGTGGTGTGTATCACTCACTCATATAAGGGCTACTGTTCATCCCAGGACAGGATGTAAGTTCCACTCACCACTTAACCACTTGTCTGCAGCTGCCAATAAT